AAACATCACAATAAGTGGCACAATGTTTTATTCCCACTCACACAAGTGTCAAGAGCATAGAAATGGGGGTGGGAGAATGGAGTAAAAGAGAAAACTAGGGGTCAAGTACAACAGATCCTCACAGTTTTGGGGTAACAGATCTCTTGGGGACTTTTATGAATGAAATTACTAAAATTTATTGAGTGATTACCATGTGCCAGACACTGTGCTAAACGTTTTACATATAGCATCCTTGAATAGCACTGAAGCTTAATGACATTAAGCAACTTGTCCAAAGTCATAGACTGAATAAGCAGTGCAGCTGAGTTCTGATCGAGGCAGCGTGACTCACACACACATGCATGTATACGGCCCTATTCGAAACCTGACCCTGGGTTCAGTGTACATCACCCTGATGGAGCATGAAATGAGACATGCTTGGTTGACAAACTGTAAGAAACAGGGAAAATGGACACTGTACGAAATGAACAAAAACACGGGAATGTGGACTATACCTGCATATTGTGTTTTAACAAATAAGTTGTCTAAGCACTATCACACAAAGAGGGGCAATCCTGTCTGAATAAGAAGGGAGGCTCACTGGAAGTGGAAAGAACAGACTTTTAAAAAGACAAACATTATACTGAAATTAAATCTGTCCTTTAACTTAAAAACAGTAAGGTAAAGTTACCAAGCACCAACAACAGTATTAAAAGGTTGGAGTGATGTCCAGCTCTTGGCTGCAGAGGTGGTGGCTCTCTATCCCTCACATCAGGGGGTTAGTCATTTAGAAATGACTGCATGTGGCAGCAGATGTTGGTCGTTCAAGGGCCATTTGGTGGATGGACACAGTACTCTTCTCATATCTGTTGTACCCAAACTGACTTACCAATAAACGTTTATGAGGAGGGGAGGAAAGAGGTTAATTCCCAGCCAGGAAGGCCTAAGGGACTACATCCAGATTGGACTAGAGAGACACTTCCTAAAGTAACCAATCTGTTGGGGTTGAGGCTTGACTATAAGACAGACTATGAAGAAAGGGAGACAGTGGAACTCTTTATAATCCTCAAGCTGGGGTTTCCCTTTTTAACCTATATAATTCATGTTGTGTGTATATGTCAAAAAATAATCTCTCGCATTTTAACCTTTATTCTCTAGCTCTGGAGATTCACCAGATGGAATGCGTCCGGCACTTTAAAGTGAATATTAAGTATTAATATTGTTGTGTGATCCTGATCCCCCTTCTCCCAAATAGATTGCCCCACTGTGCCGCTCAAAGCAAGGCTGAGTGTGAAGAGCACATGTTAAAACAGAGTTAACACCTGGCTATTGCTATTCCTAGCAAACAAAAGCCTATTTACTACGGAAATGATTCTGACACCCCTTCTAAGATCACCACAATTAAATTCTAACCTGTATATCTAATTCTATTAAAACATTTAAAGCTAAACTTACATACCTAAAGTTCCTTTTATATTGATAAAATTCATACATGCAAATATAAAAATACACATCAAAGCTTCTTCTATGAAAAACTAGTTTTCACTTAAAATTTTACAATTCAAATTGAATGAACTTAAAACCAGCGGCTATGCAGTTATTAACTCCTGAATGAATCAACTGTTAGAATTCTGCCGTCATTACATCAAAAGTCCATTTCATGCAACCAAAGGGCCAGGTAAAGACCACCCTACCAATTCTTGACCTAACTATAATGTTTTGCTTCTAAAACGCAAATCGGTAATCAATACAACAAAATCTTGCTCACTGTTTTAATAAAAACAAAAACTAGTTTGGTTTGGTTCATACCCAAAGAGTTTAACTATAGGAAATCCATGACACTGGCCCTGAACTAGCTTAGCTGCAGATCCCAGAGGCAAGCATTGGTGATTCTGTGCCACTTAAACCTCAGCCTGACTGTTCTAGGAAAAGTCCGAAGTATCCGAGAAGGGAGAAGACTGACTGGGTGAAAAGAACGATAAAAGACTGGTTCCTTTGTCCTTCTCTTCCTTTCTATATTCTCTATAAATAATTCTATTTTAGTTACTTTTTCCTAAGGAAGGGTCATTTGAAAGTAAGTTTTAGGGGGCTGTAAAGCACTGGGGAAGGAGTGCAACAAAGGAGAAAAAAGATAGACAATAACATGCCCAAAATTTTAGCAAAGCCCATTAGTAATTTTGTGCTAATTAAATGTAATAGCCTATTTTCTGAAATGGAAAAAGTAATACTCATTCCACCTCATAACCTATTATATAACCTGTACTGAGTAAATTATTCAATTAAAAAGAATTTCCTCCTTTACCTTTTATCCCATGGATGAGTTATTCAGAAACAAGACAATCTACATAAAGCTGTAAGTTTCTGTAAAATATAGGCAGAAAGTTGGAAACAACTGCCTTTCCATTTCACATGTACCAAGTGACCGTGAATTTTAATTAACTGTTTCCTCTGTTGCTCATGTAGGTTTGGAATCATCCAAGGAAATCATCCCCGTCTTCTGAACGGCTTTCCACCCTGTCCTGAGGAAAGTTCTGACTCCAGGCTCTTACGTGCTTTTTTACCCATTCTTGAAAAGCTTTTATAACAACTATACATCACTGCCAGTAAGACTAATTCTGTTCTCTGGCTTAAAATAATAAAATACTGAATTGCTTAGGCACTGTGAATTAAGCCAGCTTTAATCACAAAATGACCCAAAATGGGACCACCTGACAAGAGGTGACTAAATATTAATAGGACTCCTTTTCCAGCTCTTTAAACGTACACTTTAAAAAGTTTCAAACTAGGGGGCCAGCCCAGTGAAGCAGTAGTTAAGTGTGTGAGGTCCACTTCCTCGGCCTGGGGTTCACAGGTTCGGATCCTGGGTGCAGAACTAGCACTGCTGGTCAAGCCACGCTGTGGTGGTATCTCACATAAAACAGAGGAAGACTGACACAGACGTTAGCTCAGTGACAACCTTCCTCACCCAAAAAAAAAAAAAGTTCCAAACTAAAATTCCAAAACATAGATTAGTCTTCATCACTATAAAAGCATACTAATTCATTTTTCCATGATACTATGCACTCCAAATGCTTAAAGGTTGACACTATGTCTTATTTATTTATTATGCTCTTTTATTATGGAGTACAGCAGACTGGATTTGTAATAAATTTTAATTAGAGCATACCAGCTTGATTTATCCATTCATTCAAAACCTCTGAGTGAGCACTCTTGCTAGGTACCATGAAATACATTGGTGAATAAAACAGACAAGGTCCCTCCTCTCACGGAACTAAAGGAGGATACAGACAATAAATTAAACAAACTTATAACTACTAGCTGCGTTAGGTGGAAAGAAAGCATTGAATGGGGTACACTGGCTAAAAAAAGCTAATCGGGGGACAGGAAAGGCCATTCTGAGGAGGCAACATTTAGCCCAGACTGAAGAGGATAAGGAACCAGCCTCGGAACGTACATACCAGAGACTGGAATGAGCTGAAAAGCCTTGAAATAGGCAGAAACCAGCACACCTAAGAACGAAAGTAGCTGGTGTGGCTACAGAAGAGCTTGACAGGTCAGTGTAACACATGGAAAAAGGACCACGTCAAGCAGGGGGTCTTGCTGGCCAGGTCAAGGAGTCTGGATTTTCTTCTGATGCAACAGGAAGCCACTGAAGAGTTTTAAATAGGAGGCTTACATAAACTGATTTATATTTTGCAAAGATCATCACGGCTGCTGCGGAAAAATAATGGAGGGGAGAGTGGTAAAAGAGGAAATGGAGAGACCAGTTAGGAAGTTATGGCCATAGTCTAGGCTAGAAATGATGGTGACCTGGCAGCAGAGATGGAGCAAGAGCCAGAGGCAGAAAAGAGATCTCTTTGTGGAAAGAAATGACAGGCTTATTCAGGGATAGGTACTGGGTATGAGGGAGGATGACGACTCCCTGGTTTCTGACTTAGGCAACAAGGTGAACAGTAGTGGCATTTTTTACTGAGATGGAGAAGACAGGGAAGGAAGAAGAAGGAGAACATGAATCAATAGTTTTGTTTTGGACATCTAAAGTTTTAACATGTCTACTGAGATGTGCAAGCAGAAATGTCAAGCAGGTGGTTAGACACACAAAACTGGAGACAGGGAATAGGTTGATGCTCGAGAAATAAACTGAGGAATACTGAGTATACAGACACCAAGAGATGAGATTAGATTAGATCAGATCAGATCATCTTGTTTACTAATTTTCAAATTTGGTGTGCATACTTAATGAAGATGCAGATTTGAGCACCACCCTGCAGAAATTCTGACTGAGTAGGCCTGGGGAGGGGCGTAGGAATTCACATTTCTTCGTAAGTACATGAGTGCTTCTAAAGCCGCTGACCCTCACACTACATTTTGAGGATCACCGATCTAGAGATGGAAGAAAACAAGGTCCAGGACTGAGAATTGAGAAATTCCAAATTTACATCTTGGGTAAAAGAAGACAAGTGTGCAAAGGCTAGTGAATGTGAACAGACAGGGAAAACTGGACAGTGGGGTACTCCAGAACTCAAACACAAGGGCGTGGTAAAGTGTGTTGACTACCTCCAAGAGGAGAGAAAAGTGACAACGGATTTAACAATAAAATCACTGGTCCTCTTGGAGGAAGGGGCAGAGACAATCTAGAGCAATGAGAAACGAGGAGGATGATGGCAACTCATAAGAAATTTTGGCTCTGAAGGGGAGTACATAAAAGGGGCAGTAATTAGGAGAGGACAGAAGGTATTTAAGAGGAAATTTAGATGCTTTTATAGTCCATTTTTGACCCAAAACCTGTGATGTTTTACCAAAGTTTAACTATTTGAATTCTATTTCACATAAAGTTATTTATTAAAAAAAAGTCTTTCATTTCAAACTTTAAATATCCCACCTATGACCACACAGAATTTTTCAGTACCAATTATATATAGCACTTTCCCCCAAAAACAGAGAGAACCAAAATTTCAAGTGTTTCCTCTCTCCACAAAAAGTGATAACCACTTCACCCTCTAGCTCTTCTTGTTATTTACCCTTGCAAGATCCTCTATTTCAGAACTGAAGTTTGTTTCTCCTTCCATCATTTCTTCCTCTTCTAATGTTCGTTCATCATCAAAATCATGAACCAGCATGTCAGCTGATGGATCAAATTCATGGTCATCTGATGTTGCTGAACCTCCTGGTAAAGAATATTTTAAAAAGTTCGGTAAACCAAATTAAGTGTATCATTAATATTAATTTAATGTATAAGGTATTTGAAGCTGAATATAACTCAAATAAAAATAGCAGGGAAAAGCTATGCATAGCAAGTATCACTGTTTTAGAAAATTCTTGCCCTTACTCATCATCCCCCGGAAAAATCTCTTAAGGGATTACTTTTTGCCCCATCTCACATCTACATATTCAGTTACAACTGCAAAACTGGATGTTTATAGCTTTAAAAAAGTGTGTAGAACTTTAAAAAAGAGTATTGTAATCTTCTAAACATGAAATCTGAGTTATAAAGAAAAATGGTCACATCAAGTAAGAATGATCTTTGGTGTAGGGCAAAAAAATCACAATTTGACTGATATTTAATAGACTCAATGAGTATGAACCCCGTTGGCCCCCAAGAAGAATATATATAGTCATGTGAAATATACAGTCATCTAAATATATAGTCCAGAGAAAATAACAGCTGCACTCAAATATTATCTTCTATCAGCACTTTCGAGAAAATATATAGGCAGCTGTTTTTAACTTAGTTGATTTTGATCTGAAATAACTCAAACATAGAATATAAAAGCAAAATTTATTAAAATTGCATACAGAACTCTTACGAAAGCCATTAAAAATAATCTAATAAGTAAGTGATGTGTAAGCTAATCTATTTTTAGCTTGGTGGCTGGGGAATACTGCTGTACTCAATAGAGTCAAGCCTTGTAATAGCAGGGTGCAAATGTTGGGCATATATATTCTGTAAACCATCCCCACATTTGGCTATTGCCAAATCTGGAGTTAAGTTTGCAAAAGCATTGTTTACTAATAAACAAATGAATTATTTAACATTAAAAAATCAAGTGGCAATTTCTTTTATCAGTTTAAACTGTTAAAGGTTATATTAACAGATGTACCAACATTTCCATTTCACTCCAGTAAGAGAACCAATAAGTAAAAAAAAAGAGATAGAGAGGCCAATTTCTTGACCACTAGACTACTAGGGATAAGGGGGCACCCAACACTCAGGGTTCTTCTCGCCTCCCTTAATTTCTAGCATGAGAACCATTTTTGAGTGCTTGATATGTGCCAAATACTATGTTCAAGCACTTCACATACATTCTCATTTAATCTTCAAACAATCCTATGAAAAACAAAGACAAAAACTTGAGGCTCAGAGAGTTTAAGCAGCATGTTTTAAACTCAGAGCCAGTAGGTGGCAAGGATGGAATCTGGACCCTGGGTCTGCTACTTCCAACACCTGTGCTTTCACTGCGCTCCACGCCCGCTCTAAGTCACAGCCTCAGAAACAGTAGGTCTCCGCCTTGAAGAACAGTTGAAGAGAGCCCATTTACCCACATGAGCCAACTACAAGCCAGGTCAGGGGGCAAAGCACTTAGAGTCTTCTTTGAGGAACATCATAAAATATTGATATTAAAAATAAAATAACTAAACTATTCTTTTGTTTATTATTTAGCAATAAGGCATATTATAGTACAAATGAGTATCAAAGTTTTAGAATGATTTGCAAAATAAAAACATTTAGAAAAGTGTATTATCTTAATTTCTTCTGGAAATGAAGAAAAGTGCGACAATTTTAGTAGGGCATCTTAGTACTGCTTCAGGGACTGGACACAAGTGTTCCACAGAAGCACAGTGTGAGAACCATTAATTTAGTTGTTGCTGTCTTGCCTCAATCATTCTCTCTTCTTCCTGAGTTTTCAATGGAAACACTCACCAAACTTTTCAGTCACCCAGCAATCTTCTAGGACACGTACTCAATAATTCTGTATTCCTACAGATGATGCTGTACTATTCTTTCTCGTAGGCATAATGATCCTAAAACACCTCGCAGCGCCATTGTCTACTACTCCCCTAATCATAATATAATTCCTACTGGATACAAATACTGTCAAAAATAATTATGTGTAATTCCTTACTACTTATACTCTTTTACCATCTGAAAAAAAAAAACAAAATCAAGCTCACATGAGGACATAGCACCTTTTCATCAGCATTATACAACTTACCTGAAGTCCCCCATTTTTAGGTCATTATTTACAAAGCCAATTGTATTTAAAGCATTGCCACTTCACCTTCCCACTACATGAAATAACAAAGTATGGGTGACCCTTTTCTCCCTTCTCACTCTAATTTCTTTCCCCAGATACACACTGCACTGTTTTCTATAAACTTCCAATTTCAATTTTTTTCTTGCTTTTATCTGACCTCTTTGTTTTATTTGACTTCTTTTTAGCCTTGTTCTTTGGGACCAACTAACCATCCTATTCCTTTCTGTTAATTACTAGTCCCATCATTAGGCTGTCTCCTAGGGAAAAAAAAATCCCAAAAATGTATTATTAGGGGTAGGGAGTCTGGTGCTTTATGTAAAGAAATATTTTGCTTCAGAGTAAGGGAAATGCCACTGCTTTGTCATAAAATTCCATCCTACACTAAAAGGTATGTTACATATTTGCAAAGATTCAAAAGATAACTTCAGTTTATAACATACCATATAGCATACTCATACCATGTGTAATCATTTTACTACCTTCCGTACCCTAAAATCCCCACCTCTAATGGCTACTAGTCTTACAGGTAAAGCCTTGTACTACGCCTCCATATTGGTTTACACCGGTGGAGTCTAGAGACAAACCACTTAGCCTACGTCATGTGACAATTATTACCGGCATCAATTCCAAAGTGCAGATGTTGCAAAGGACACAGCTTCTCACCAGTGAACCAAAAATTATTTTTTTACATGAAGCTTCTGGTCCTATTTTTTTCTACCAACTTTTGCAACTGCCTACAATTAGTATTATTCATAAGAACAATAAACATTCCCTTGGGCAGAAGCCCGATACTAACAAATGCTGTCTACCTCAAAAGATCTTCCTCAGTCTGAAAACAATTAAAAAAAAATCACTCAATCCATTTGTATAAGCATTCAGCAAGAAGGCCATCAAAGACATGTGCATTCTTCAAACTCCACTCTTCTTCCAGTTCAGCCCAGGCTGATTCAAATGCAATGGAAACTACAAAATCCATTTATTAATGCCACTTTTAGAGTACACATTTTTAGGTACCCATGTATTATGTGATGAATGTCTCAAAAATTCATAGAAAAATATCTAAAACTCAGTCTATTTGTGATGTCACAACATTAACAAAAACAACTAGAACCTATTTTTTCAATGAAAATGATTTCTGTGTTTGAAAGAAAAAAAAATACTAGGAACAATTCCATGTCCTAAAAAGAAAATGGTAACCTAATATTTATCTGAGATCAGATTAATTCCAACCTCAATCATCGAGAACATATTTATAAACCAGGAAGTAAAAAAATTAATCCTTGAGTTTCAGAAATATCACAAAGCCCAATGTACTTTATCGCCGAGTCAAACATCTTCAGCTAAAATAAACATGACAAAATCAACTATCAATTGAGCCCACTAGTCATTTAGAAGGGACTGGAGGAACCTAGTCCAACCACTGCTTGATGCATTGTACCACACAGAGTACCACGATTTGTCTTCATGAAAAGAACTCTGAACCATTAAAAAGAAGCTTATGTTAAGCATTTTTTACAAACTAACTTTCTAAAATCTAAAACACAGAAAGGTGATTGCTTCAATAATCTGGAAAATTCAGTAATACATCATATCTAAATATTCAATATATGCAAGACGTTTTCAAATCAAACATTGCATGCCTCAGAGGGCTCTCTTTCTCACTCTTCTTTAGCTATATTAGGCTGTTCCTTAATCAGCGTACTCCACCGCAGAAGGAAAAGTCCCTAGACACTGAGGCAGAAAGACTAGTAACAGACTCTTTTCTGGCCATTATTTAGCTCCAACCAACTGCTGCCACATGGGAATGCTGTACCCAGTGGTGCCAGAACCTCTGATTGATCATAAGAAGCCTAAATCCAGATTTTTATAAAATATTCTAATTTTTTTAAGGTCACTAGACTGGCCAAACAAAAAACATTTGTGGCCCAGATTCGGTCCAAAGATCACACGTTTACAATCGCTAATGAAAAAATGAATCTGTACCATATTTGAAAGAGAATACAAAAACCCAAAGCTATACAGAGGACAAAACTTGATTCTATTCAAATCTAAAAATAACTTCTATAACTTACAACATTAAGTACTCATTTGGTGAATGTTTTGCTTACTTTTCCCTCTCTCACTAAATGCATTAAGAATTTTTTCCTCAAATAAAATACTTTGAAATTCCTGTACAAACAAATATTTCTAAGCAGTTAGTGACTCTTCTTAAAAAAAATACACTTCATATATACTTCAAATCAAATAGCAATTAAAAACTATAAGAAATACATGTGGCAATTCATCAAACAAAAAGAGAAAATCCACCGACAGTTACGAGGTTGAACTCACAGCAGCCTCAGCTGCACTTTCATGGGCAGTCAGATATTTCACCCATTTCTTTTCCCCAGAGAAGAGAAGCATTCAGAGGAAAAGCAAGTCAGGTAACAGTCTAACTCCTCTCCTCTTACGCAGCTAACAGGACAAATCTGAGTCAAACAGAGATGATAAAGATTACAGAAAACACTTACCTGGACTGGAAGACTCAACAGACGGCTGAGGAGGGGAGAAAAGAAGAAAAGTTAGCATCTTTGTGCAGTAAGTATCCACAAACATTACTCAATGACTAATATGACACCAAAACTACAGTAAGTGTGAATGTCTGAATTGTCTAAGACAAACTAAAACTTCTGGTGTAATCCTTTCTCTGACACTATATTTATTTAAACAGAAAAAATTCAAAACACTCTAGAAACAGAGATTATCTACGGAAATGACAGATTTTAAAGACAAATATGGGTCTTATAACATATGTGGCTTAAGAGAGATGATTTTAGATCTTAGAATTTTCTAAATCCTCTTTCCTATCAAAACAGGGAAAATTACACAGAAGGTTTGCTATCAACCTGGTTTCTGGCTTGCGTATGAGAAGGGAGGTGGAAACAATTTAAGACATTATTTTAAATAAAAATTATATTGTAAGAAAGAAGGAAAATTAAAATGTTACTTAAGCACCAAACAGTACATTAGGTTAACTTTACTAACAACATATTTTTAAATTATCACAGAATTAGCAACCTTTAGAGCTAAAATCTAGAGTTTATCTGTTGGAAGATCATAAAGATTCCTACTTATAATGCCTCTTGTACTGTACCATTCTGCCTCTCATAAATTTAACCACAAGCATCTGGAAGATTTTAAAGATAAAACTGTTAGCAACTTATTTTAGTAATACACCACTTGACAATTTGTGGCTGTGCCTTATCTTATTCAGTTAATTCACAAATAGAAACGAGTCATCTACAAACATAAACTACTAAGACAAACTCAATAACAAAAACTCAAAAGATGCTTCAAACGACAAGCTTTATAACTAACACCTTGCCTATTCATTCAGAGTCATCTATTTCATGCCTCTTAGAAGTCAGAGGTTGGAAAGCCAAAAGTATTAACAAAAAGAAATAGGAATGTTGTAGTATTTTCCTTCTTTCTGCTCAGTAATGAGGCAGAGAGGCAAGAAAAATAAAACAGAAAAGAGGAAGGTGCCCAATTTTTCAAAAGCTAGACATCTAAGACAAATTTTTATAGGGTATTAAAACTGCACATTGAAAAGTGTCCACATAATGCTACTGTAGTAGGTATGACACTTTAGATTCTACATGGTGACAGGTTCTTTTGAGGCACACTTTTGCAAAGGTCCTATGTTTTTCCTTTTAATTCTTGGAAGAAGATGGTTCTTGCCTATAGCATTGTCTTATTCTAATAAAAGACTGACAGTATTCAGTATTATGTATTTTCAAGCGACCACCATTATCTTTATTTAAAAGGTACTCTGCCACAACAGAGTCAAAACACTGCTACATTTTAATTCGCTTCCTCTAATGGGAAGCTGGAGAAAAGCGCGACAGAGTAATGTGACCATGAAGAGGGTTTCTAATTTGCTTAACATCTTCTGGGCACAGCTACATATTTCTGGCTCAAAATGGATTTAACTATCACATAAATTATTACACAGCCAGTCAATATTTTAAAATATTAATCTACTTTTCTTTCATGCAATTATACTTTATTTCCCAAGTTTAAACACAACTTCTGTGCAAGGTTACAGAAACATTAATGACTATCTTCACCTGGTCCCAGGTTCACTATCCAGAGCAGCCTTTTGATGCTATTTTTCCCTTTTAGTATAATTTTGAAACAGGTTTGCATGGCATAAACAAGAAAATCCAGCATTTCTTTCAAATTAGGAGCTTAAAAGAAATGGTTCTTCGAGCATTTAGTTCTTTTTGAACACTCCAATAATTATTCCATTTAACAGTTTTCTGATAAAAAAGGCTTTCTGATTAAAAATAAGTTATTCTAGGAGCCGGCCTAATGGTTAGGTTTGTGCACTCTGTTTCAGTGGCCCAGGGTTCATGGGTTTGGATCCCAGGCGCAGACCTACACACCGCTGATCAAACCATGTTGTGGTAGCATCCCACATACAAAATAGAGGAAGATTGCCACAGACGTTAGCTCAGGGTCAATCCTTCTCACACACACAAAAAAAGTTACTCTACTCAAGAATAAAAGCTACATTTTTACTTATGTTAGATTTTGGCAATAACAGAGATATTGAACTGTGAATGGCGTCTATATACTTTAATTTGTAAAAGGCCTCAAGCAGCACTAGATGCCAATAAATACTATACTGATTGATATTTTATTGGGAAATAGGTACCACTTTAAAGTTTTGAAAAAGGCCCCAAATATTTTCCATACACTAAGATACCAAATGTTTAGAAGACTGATAATATTTGTAGGCATAGCTGGCATAAAGTAGAACATCCAGTGTTCAAAGATAGCATTAATGATCACATTATGTCAGACATACTAGAACGTTCCAAGAACCATGACTTGACTGATGGTCCATCTCGATGAGGATGAAGACGGAGAAGTAGTGATGGTTTGCCCATAGATACATATTTAAGTGTCCTATGTGCAAAATAAAATTCCATTGCATCAGTCTGGGGAGGGTGGGAATGAGATCAGTTTCTTAAAAGTTAATTATATCCAGTTAAATCAAAGATGAACTTCTGGAAACCTGGTGTTTGAAAACAGTGTATATTGCAAATATTACTTTTCCTTAGCAAAATTATCTTTCAAAATAAAATATGACTTTAGTATCATAATACAGGAGATCTTAATGTGAAATGAGGGCATTTTTTATTTGGGTATTTCAGAGAATAGAACCAGCTTATATTTATATAGTACTTCATATTCTCAAATGTAAAAGTTACCTGACCATAACCATAAACCTGGCAATAATACCTGCCCCGCCTACCTCATTTTATAGATTAGCAAACCCAAGGAGATACTGTGACCTGATCAAGGTTCCATGGTGGGTGGTGAAGGTGGAACTTAAGTCTAGGACCTGATTCCTTCTGTACCTCCCAGGAAAACAACCATGTAAAAAAATGTTTCTCTTTACCTCTCTCCTCCTTCCCCCCTACTTTCTCTTTTTTTTTTTTAAATGGTTTTCATCTGTTCAAAGCATATTTAAAATGTGACTGCAAGTTGTCATCTGTCATGTCAGACTATTACCTATGTCTTGTTAGGAACTGGTATCTCTAATAATACCCTCCAGGAAAACCGGCAACATCCACCATTAGTGATGACAGTAAACTGGAAAGGGGGAAGGGGGAAAAAACAAAACCAAAGCTAAAGAGGTAAGCCTTTGTAACAATATCTATTTTTAGAAAAAGCTCAAACTATAAAATGTAAGCAGTAAAGAAGATTTCACATTGGGGATTACAATGTATTTAAAATGCACTCATATATTATTGGTACAAACATGAGTTGGTTCAACCACTCTGGAGATCACTTTGCCAATATGTACTTACCCTACTGCTATGCCCAAAAAAGCACACCAAGATATCTGTATAACATTCATTACTACAAAGTTGTTCACAGCAAAAAGATGGGAAAAAATTCAAAGTCCATCATCTAACTAGTTAGAAATGAAATACAGTTCTTCCAAGCAATGGAACACTATTAATCAATCCATTAAAAAGGATGAGACAGATCTGTTCGTATTAAGAAAAAAATGCCAAAAAATTATATACATATATATAGAGTAAAAAGAAAAGTGGAGAGGAAGGAGTAAATTTGGGCTGGAATATAAATAAAATTTTTTTTCCCGCAAAAGGATACACAAGAACCTGTTCACAATAGTTACCTTTAGGGAATGGGTTGGGGAGAAAAGCCTTTTTTTATTTTATACCTTTCTGTACTGTTGGAATTTTCTAACCACTTACAAGCGTTACTCTGTTTTTTAAAAAGAAAGTGAGTGGAGATTATTTTGTGGAATTATGAGTCATTTTCATTTGCTTCCTTTACTTTTAGATTTTTTAAGAAAACCTAGGACTTGTCACATTTTTTAAAACAAGTCTATAATTTTGGAAAGTAACCTAGTTCTCTTCTGAGTACATAAATAATTGTTTTATCTGAGATGGAAAACATAACACTAGACAGACACACACAGAGCATGGGTAGACCAAATCAAATCTAAAAATGAACTGTAGTAACTTTTACAGCAGCTTTTACACCTTCACCCATACACAGAATTCTGCTGATCAAGTTGCTAAGAGCGGTAACAAATATTCAATGCAGTAGATTTTTTCAAATGTTTCTCTTTTGTGTTTTTCTAGAACATGGTGAGAAATATCCTATACACCAGAAAACTATAAACTGGGAGAGAGTAAAAGATCAACTAACTACAGCATTACCATAAATAAATAAATAAACAGATAAGTAAGTAAAAACACAAAGCAATCATTAGATTTTCTTTTCCAATGAACATAACTATTAGAACCAATTTTTCCCCTCAAACCAATTCCACCACCTTTTCTTTAAGTGTTATCACCTAATTAGTAATGCAGACACTAAATTAGAGATTCTCACAACGATGGGGATGGGGATAGAGCCAGGAAGGAGGCAGGGTCCCTACTGCAGGGTGGAGAAGGCAGAGGGACTGTGCCAAGGGTTCCCTAGCCCTCTTCCTCCACATGAAATTAAATCACCTAACTTTGCTGTTACCCTGAGGAATTCTGGGGCATAAAAAAGGTTGCGAAAGTCTTGGAGTTAAAATTAGCAAATTTACTACAGTAGTAGCAATCCAGAGGGTGAGTAGCTAGTACTAAGCACTGGGAACTCAGAAGCCTAGGTTCCAGCCTTAACCGTGCCACACACTAACTGCGCAACACAAGACAAACTGCATAAACTCTGCTCAGTTTCATTTTCTCCAAGATAAAAAGATTTAGATTTCTTCAAGTTTAGTTCACTTTCCTTTGAGATCTAAGTTCTTTACTTTTATTATGAATTGCTCAAAAGACGTAACACTACTAAGCTAAATGGATAGGATATGTTTAACAGACTCTCCTAAATTTATTTTTTTTAATTTAGGACTATTGAGAAAGGATGATCTCAAATTGCAAAAAGCTTTTTGAGAGCACTACTTTACGAATTTCATATCTACATAAGCATAATTATAACAGTCATTTTTCTAAACCACAGAA